TATCACATCTTTGTCTTCATAATTGTCATGGTGTGCAGTGGTTGGAGGTGAGGAAGGTGAGCCCAGGTAGTCATGATGAAAATTATGTTTAATAAAGAATCAGGAAAACAAACTCAGAAGCGCTGGGAGCAAACAGACAACGAATGAATGACATCAGACGAGGGCCCGACGAGACAAAGACAAGAAGTGGGCTTAAATACACAAGGAGGGTAATCAAGAAACTAGACACAGCTGGGATCAATCAACAGGGAGGACAGGACAGAGACTCACAGGGAAACAGGACTAAACACAGAAAATATAAAAATAACTACACAGAAAAATACAGATCACAACAATAATAGCTCATAGATTTTTTTTTGGAGTTCAAGAGAGTCACCTGGCCATTTAAGAACAGGAATACCTGTTCTTAAATGGCCAGGTGAGGATTCATTGTGGGGGTGAATCCTCACCCCCACAATGCAAAAGCGCCTGAAAACAAGCATACCCAAAATGAATCAGGTGCTGCTCTTAAACCACTTGGACTACATGCAAATGCTCGGTGTCTTTAAAAGTCCCAAATTTGGCTGTGCAGTCCAATTTATTGTTCTGGTAACTAGGACTTCAATAACAAAGTTTTAATACACAATTTGTGTACATGTTTCTGGAATAAGGAGGTATTGACTGAGCAACTAAAGAACTAACAAAAGAAAACGGGGTCGGATCAGCAGATTAACTCAAACCTGTTGATTAAAAATAATCAACGGGTTTAATTATTTCTAAGGTGATTAAGGTGTGTATGCAATCACACGTATACAACTAGCTGCTCAAAGGTGAGCCGTGTAAATGTGGAGCGCTTTGGCTCTGATGGAGAACATCGCCAATGGAAGGATTCAGAGGAAGCGATTGATCAGAGATTATATTGATCTGCTGGGAAATGTTGATGATGGTTTATTATCGTTTAGATTGCACAAACTGATGATCCTGGAGCTCTGAGCAAAACTTAAAGAAGGAGCCGTGTGGTACCGGTACCAGTCCAGCTGCCTTCAGTCGAGCCGCCTGCTTTATGGACAGAAAGCATCTTTATTCTGTAAATGTACAATATGCACATGGTTTTACTATTTAGAATAAACATCCACATTCCCACTCAAATGACTCCCACTTCTCTAAATTTGTCCATACGCCAAGTTTTAGTGTGAAAACTGGGCACTCTTATCCATGAGGCCCCAGGTGTCTATCCAGTTTTGGACACACAGATATAAAAAAATGGGTCTTCATACATTTTAATTCTAATCAACCCCCAGATCTATTATTCCTTTTCTCTCACTCACACACACTCACACCCCGAGAGAGATGGAACCACAAACATTAGTGTCACCATGCAAAACCAATCCCCACTCCACACACAGGCAGAACAGAAAAAAGTAGGCCAAAGCAGTCCCCACCCCAGACAGGAAGCAAAACATCTGACAATACCTCTTCATTTGACTACAAATATTGTAATTTAGACATTTCAAGGTCTGAATAAGGCATAACACATACATTTCCTAAAACAAACAAGTCCCACACCAAACTCATCACAGTATGGAAAAATTCGTCTCACACAGCACACATGCACACACACACCCAGGCAGGCCACACAAAAACACCTTCAAAACATAATTTGAGTTGAGGGAGAAAACCAGCGACAGAAACTAAGCTTATCTGTATAAAACAGGTTTTACTTTCTCAACAAGGAAAAGAGCTGCACTATGGATTACAGCTTATTCTTCCACAGAATCAAATTTGGACCGGTCGCTTTCTTATTCGGATTAACAAAAGACACGAAATCCTGCTTTCAGACCACAAAAGTGTGCTCTTGAGTTATGGCAGAAACATTCCCCCATATACTGCCTTTAGCATCCAAACAACTTTAATAATAGGATTCTTTCACACCATTGCTTCTCAAAGTAAAGCTTAACCCTTTAAAGACGAGGTCTAAATGGCCATCCCGGCGCGCAGTCTCTCTTCTCTGTGCGTCAGCGCTCGCTATGAAGCCATGTAGCGATAGCTAGCAAAACTACTACTAACCCTGCACACACCACGAACTCTAACTAACACACTTATCGTCTAAAAAACCCATCGAAACACTCCTAGTAAAATCCACAGCATCACTGTGCCCTAGTCTCTTGCCGTATCCAAATCCCCCCCCTCGTCTCTTTCTGCGAGTCTCCGTTCTACCTAGCAACAGACTGTCAACACATTCTTATTGGTTGTTTCGAAATGTGTTACATTTAGACCCCACAAAATAAGGCGGAAATGATCGATCTTATTTCTGGCTTTATTTTGAAGTAAATAACCACAAAACCAATATAAAAACACCACTTTTATAAAGTTTGAAGTCCGTGCTGTCCAACAGAGTCGAAATGAAAACTCGGTATGCGTCCATGTTATTACGAAGCCTTATTAATGCGTCACATGCTTGTACGCCACACGGCGGGCAGCGACTACATAGGTTTAAAAGTCAAAAACCTTAAATTATATAGTCATTGTGGGTGTATCTACTTTAACTTGAATACAGATGGCTAATTTTCCTCACTCTAATTTTCTGCATCTGTAACTACAATAAATGTCTGACTGTCGTATATATTGGTTAAAGTTTTTTGTTTTCATTTATACAGAATAACAAGAAACTGCCCTCGAACATTCAGAATGGCATTGTTTGACCCTGATGGTGATGATGTGAGATGCAGAGTACCGACAGACAGCTCATCTGAGTGTGGGATGTGCAGACTCGTCAGTGGTTTCTCTTTTGACCAGGTATGGGTTTTGTATTGGGATTTCCTGTCATGTTTTACATCAAATGTGTTATACTACATAAATTACTTTTGTGTTATATGAATATATCATAAAATATAATATTTTTAGTAAGTAATTTAAATATGATTAAGGCTTATTTGGACAAGTAGTGGATTTGGGGAATCAATCCAATGAGGGCAGCCTCTTTCCAAGTCAACCAATGAATGATTGGTGTCCATTATTATGCCATACAACTAATGTAATGTAACTAAAAGTAGTGTAGTTTTAAAAAGACATTGTTTTATAAGCCTTCACCAAATAAAGAGGAAAATCTGAAGGCCATATGTGGTTAGATACATTTATGCTGTTGTCTCATGAAACACATTATTCCTCATCAGCGTTCCTGCTCCATTACTTATAACTACAGCAGTTACACTGGGATCCATCCGATTGAACTTGTGATTGAAGACTTTCCCACCAAGCAGATAAACCTTTATTACTCTGATGAGTCCTACACAACAAAGCACCCCCTTTCATTGATGAGACATAGACGTCAAATTGCATACCCAGTCACCACAACGGTAGATCCACTCAGGACCACCACATATCCTACTCCAACAGCATCGGCTCCTGCAACAACCACCACTGTAAA